GCATTGGGACTGAGAACAGGTTAGATGTACAGTAGACAAACCCACAATTTCCCCTCCAGTTTATCCAGAACATTTCCTCAAGCTAAACTGCTGCTGCTCATTTCACATGTGTCAGGAGAGAAATCTGCACAGATCAAGCAGTGTTTAAACAGCTCTAAACAAATATGTGAGTGGATTTTGATGTGAGAGACAACAGGAGATGTACTTTTTCTCTGGAGGAAGCGTTATTATGGATTATGGACTCGCATTTTAGCCAACAGCAACAGTTTGAAGTCAAAACGTGATTTGTTTCAGCTTTTGTCTTCTCCAGATGTTAACTGATGGACTGGAGTGCTGTGGATTACTTGTGGATTATTGTGATGTTTTTATCAGCTGTTTGGACTCTCATTCTGACGGCACCCATTCACTGCAGAGCATCCATTGCTGAGACCAAATCCCGAGTATGGGATACCATACTAGGCTACACGTCACGTCACTAAAATGACACAATAAAAAAATTTTTAAAAACTTGATTGGTTAATGTGAGGTCAGGTGATGTAGGGTGGTGCATCAACGAGACCATAAAAGGGCACCTGCATCACGGAATACCCAGATTCCGATTTCCTGCCCAAAGTTTAGCAATATGATGCAGCATCTTGTTCCCTTCTCAGAGAACTGATTCAGACCTGTTTAAGTTCAGACCTGTGGCATGGCGTTGACACTATGGAAACGTTAATACCATTGCCGCCAAAAGTTGGGAGGATTTATGCCACTGACATGAGCAGTCAAACCCCTCGAGGACAGACCGAACATGTTTTTTAATGTAATCTGGTCTGGGGTGCAGAATAACTTTGACCAGTCCAGGGGCAAAATCCAAGCAGGAGGCTACTGAAAGGACCTGCAGATCTTCTGCTCTTTTCTGCTAATCTTCTGCTCCAGTGCTAGCAGCAAATCCACTTTAAAGGTCAGAATCCCTGCTGAAAGGTGCTCTTACAAGAACTCCAGCACTGTAACAACCGTGCAGTGGACTGGGTTCAAGTGGAGTTGATAACACCATGACATAAAGAGCTACCATTTTAGGGCATACAGTTTCCCCGTGGAGGGAATTCTGGAGCTCTGAATAGTCTCAAAAAGTTGAGAGACAAGAATCTATGAACTGGTGCCCCTCATCTACAGCCAGGTTTGCAGATCGACTCGTATGCTCCATGGCGTCCAGTCTCAATGGAGCTGGAGATGTAAGGACAAACCAGAGGGGATAGTGGGTTGACTTCTCTGAGGCGAACAAGTCCGCTCGCCTGAACCTCTGAGAGAAGACAGAGAATACCTGACTGTGACTGTGATACCGTAGCTCCAGCTCATTACTGCACAGACTCAGGCTCCAAACGAATGACTGCTGTGCAGACTCGGGCTCCAAGTCGTCCACTGCGATCTCAAAACTCTAATTAGGTCAACCGGAACCGGGAACACTTCTCATAACACCCAATGTACTCGTTACATCGTAAGAAGAATGGCATCTACGCTAATATTAGTCTCTTTCATCCTTTTTCTGAGGTCACCGTAGCCATACAGATCCAGTCTGTATCCAGATCAGATGGTGGATCAGCACCTAGAGATGACCTCTAAAGCCCTGTGGAGACCATGTCAACTAGATAAGCCCCAGAGACAGATCCCCTGCAAAGACCTCATCACCTCGACAACCATCGGCACAAGACCACGGGAACCAGACGAGTCCTCTGCTCAATCTGACCTGTGTTGCAGCCTGGAATTAAGCCACGCCATGCTGGTTTCGTCTGGCCAGAGGAGATCTGGCCTCCCGACTGAGCCTGGTTTCTCCCAAGGTTTTTTCTTCATTTTTGTCACCGATGGAGTTTTGGTTCCTTGCCACTGTCACCTTTGCCTTGCTTAGTTGGGGACGCTTGACTGATTGCACAGCCACTATTGGACGAGAGCTGAACTGGATGATGACATCACTGAATCATCAATGAACTGACTTTAACTTGGAACTTTAACTGTTTGCTATTGTCCTCTTGCATTATTGACAAACTATTTTCCAGTTTGAACACTGTAAAGCTGCTTTGACACAGTCTTGTATTGTATAAAGTGCTTTACAAATAAAGGTGACTTGACTTGACTTGACCAAATGAATCACTACTGCACAGACTCGGGCTCTAAATGAATCACTACTGCACAGACTCGGGCTTCAAACGAAAGACTGCTGTGCAGACTCTGGCTCCAAATGACGTAATTGGAGCAAGATGACAGCGGCCATACCTGGGACACTTTGGCTTCACTTTTCTACAATGAAAGGAAATAGAGACGTGTCGTCAGGGGCACCGTAACGGGGGGAAGGTTAGGACGATTCCAAGGGCCCGATGAAGGAGAGGGGGCCTGAACGCGATTTCTACCGAGGGAGACCCCAAACCACCAGTCAACCAGAAACCATAGCGGCACCCCTGTGCGTATGGTGATAGCCTGGTAGAACTTTTAAATAGAAGAGTTCAGAGGGTAGAAATTGATGGGATTCTTTTTGAGGAGACAATTGTTAATAACAATTCCTCAGGAAAGTGTCCTAGGCCCCCTTTTGTTCTTATTATACAAAAATGATATGCAAGCTGTTTGTGATTGTAACTTGTTTTTTATATGCTGATGATTCTGCTTTACTGGTTTGTTGGTCGATTTTGGTAGAATGAAAGGGAAATGAGGTAAGGAACTCAACAAGGTAAGAGACTGGCTCTCTGAAAATAAACTCATTGCATTTAGGTAAAAATAGAAGAGTTCAGAGGGTAGAAATTGATGGGATTCTTTTTGAGGAGACAATTGTTAATAACAATTCCTCAGGAAAGTGTCCTAGGCCCCCTTTTGTTCTTATTATACAAAAATGATATGCAAGCTGTTTGTGATTGTAACTTGTTTTTTATATGCTGATGATTCTGCTTTACTGGTTTGTTGGTAGATTTTGGTAGAATAAAAGGGAAATGAGGTGAGGAGCTCAACAAGGTAAGAGACTGGCTCTCTGAAAATAAACTCTTATTGAATTTAGGTAAAACAGACACTATATTATTTGGGTCTAAAAGTTACACATGTTTATGTATCCCATGTTAGACATCTTAGAATAGAAAACAGAGTAGCACACCTTAAAATAAAAATAGTATGGAAGACAACCAATAAAAGAGTTCCTCCATATTTTAATGCATATTTTTTTCTAGGGTAAATCAGAAACTTTATTATGATACTAGGCAAAGTCATTACAGTACATTGTTGTTTTAAGACTGTCTTTGGTCACAGGTCTTTTGAATACTCAGGGAGTGGAATAAGTTACCTCTGGATATTAAAAGTTTCAAATATGAATGTTGGTTCTTACATTGATAAGGTTGTTTTAGTGGTGAATTTGTATTGGCATATTGTGTGTGTTTTAGTGGTGAATTTGTATTAGCATATTGTGTGTATGTGTTTAATTGTGATTATAAATTTTGTAAGTGGAATTTTATTGTAATTCTGTATTTATAATACTATGCAATGCCAGTGTACCTGTCACCAGGAGTGAAATTTGTGCTTAATGAGGGATGACATTAGCATTTCTGTTGGCCATACTATCTAAAACACAAAGCAGAGTGAGACAAACAATAAGACAAACAATATGATACTAATGCAAACAGACAAGCGGCTTCCTGAAGATAAAGAAGCTGGAGATTATGTGACGTAGGTGCCCTTTTATGGTCTCACTGACACACCACACTACGTCACCTGACCTCACATCAGCCAATCAAGATTGGTGTGGTTGCACAAGTGGTTTAGATGCCGGTCACACAGAAGTGCTCCAATACAGCATCAAAGCCACAAAGCAGTGCCAATGTTCCACTTAGAAAAGGGAACATAATGTGAAATAAAACTTCATCCACTCTAGAAAACAGCTTTTTATTTTATTTTTTATATAGTGTAATATTTTAATGTGACAGTAATTAGTAGAGTGGTAGAGTAGCACTTCTAAAATATAAAGCAAAAATGCAGTGAATGCATAAATGAAATGCCAAACTCAAACAAATAGTTAAGGTGGGTTATTCTGTTAAATAGTTAACATTCTACATCCGTACAGTACACTGAACCTCAAAACAATTATTAATATATGGCATTGTACAGTATGCTGCAGTGTTCAGTCTCTGCACTGTAGGCTACACAGCTGTGTTTCTAGGTATGCATGTTCTAGGCTATTTTGGCTCATTCTTCCTTTTTGAGGTATGAACACTGAGCTACTAACTAAAACTGATGTTTATATCATGACTAACTTTGACTGTAGTTTAACTATTTTAAGTTTTGAGTAGCATGTAGCTTGGCATTTCAGCTTTTTTAGTATTTGTACATAAATGTGTGTCTAACCACATCTAACCACACAGGAATGGTCACTGTGCTGCTCAAGAAACATTTCTGATTATTATCAATGTTGAAAACAGTTGTGCTGCACAATGTTTTTGTGTAAATCGTGATACATTTTATTTTTCAGGATTCACAGATGAACAGAAAGTTCAAAAGAACTAAACAATAATTTGAAAGCTTTAGCAGTAGTCTTAAAATCAATGCTGAAAAAAAAATTGCACTTGGCTTAAGCTAACGAAACCAACACAAAACAAATAAAAATGTAACTTTTTTTGTTCTAAGTCTTAATTTGTACACTATAAATTGTGCTCTGTGAAGTATGTACACGTAGGATCCTTTCATCCTTTCTAACATTAATCCCACAGAATCATGCTACAATTGTCTTATTTTCTCATCAGTTAACTTCATTTCATCATTCTCCGTGCGCTGTACTTCCCATCGCTTCTATTTTTGTTATCATTTCGCCTCTCATCTATTAATGTGCATGTCACTTTTCATTCTGAGCCCCTGCACCCCGGTGTCATCTGTTGACTGCATTAATTGCGTGTCTGTAGGTGTTTGTGTAATTTCCTGCGGTCGGGCGGCACTGCTCGGCGCTGGCCTCAGATCATCATCTAATAAGGGCTGATGGGAGCATTCTGCCCACACACAACTGCACGCTCATTCAACTCCACTGCATTTGACTGTTCAGCCAGAGCTAGCCTGCACACACGCGAGTGGGAGAAGAGCAGCAGAGGGACGGAGTCAGTGAAGAGAGAGGCTTTTCTGCAGAGGAATTTCAAGACTGCAGCCACTCGTGACAGAGCAGGGGACCATTTCATACCATACAAAATAAAAGAAAAAAGTTTTATGAATTAGGCAAGATATTATAATTTAACAATATTTCTTCACCAAGGCTTGATGCTTACTTTTTTTTCTCAAGGAGCATATGTGCTCCTAAGTGGAAAAATTCAGGAGTGCATTAAAGAAACTTTAGGGGCGCATTGAAAATCGATCAAATAATGTGTTTTTCCTTAATAAAGTGATACAAGGAGACATTTACAAGCAAAATGATTTATGCATTAGAATACACAATGAACACTAGGTTTTTAAATATTTCTTCTTCAAGCTGTATTTAATAATGATGTAATTCTAATAAATACTCATTTTCAAATGTACATGTTTAACTATTGCTGGCTGCTCATTTAAATATTATCCACAACATATTACAATATAAACACCATAAAGTAAACATTGACATAATTCATCAATAGTAGATCATAAGCAATTGACATAAATTTGCAATTGTGAACTGCTCTGAAACCGTGAACGAGTGCTGCATTCTGACTTTGAACATGCAGCAATAATAATTATTTAATAAAATCATAGCCTTTTAAAGTTTAATAATCACATTCGGCTGTATCATGATCCCTGCTTGTCCGTCTCCAAATTTAAAGACCTCTTAAAATTATAATAAAATTAGTTTGTTATACAATTTAAGATATTTAAAACTTTTTAAGGACCTACAGGGTCTTTTTTTATTATTTGCACACGTGCTCCTAAATATATTTTACAGTTTGCAAATATTTATTTTTAGTTGCAAATGTGAGTGAAACACTTGCACTGTAGAGTCCTGTTAATTGGACAGCGGTTTCTATAGTGCATTTGTTTAGACTATGTTTATGATAGTTTTGTTATGCTTTTGCATTATTTTTTGAACCTTGAAGACTCTAGTCACCATTGATTGCAACTGCATGGAAAAGAGCTCCTAGTACAATTCTTAAAACAATTCTACATTGTTTGTTAAGTTGCAGTGAACATGTTAAATGTTAAAAGGCACCCGTTCACACCATGGATGATAACTATAATGCTAACTATAACTATAAAGGAATGACTGCTGGAATTACTTTCAGAACATTTTTTTTCCAGCTGATGAACCATAAAAACATTTAAAGCCAATCAGAATCCATCCAGCTTTAAAGTGGCAGAGCATTCTTAAAATAATGCCAATTTAGTTATTGTTATCTTTCTTGGTGTGAAGGGATCTCAAAGGCAGGCACACACTTTTTTTTTTACCTGTCGGAAATTGTCGATGCTTGTATTTGAACCCTTAATGGGTTAAAATAACTTGTGGCTATAAGGAAGGGCTATTGCTTTACAAAACCACAAGATGCATTCTGATTGGCTGTGAATAATGATGCTGCTAGCAGTTGTTGTTTGATGTGTGTTACCTGCTGCAGGTCCAGAGTCACAGTGATGTAATGGTAGTCCATCCCGTTCATGATGCTCGGGCTCTGCCACCATCTGTTAGTGCCGTCGATGGCGTACTCGATGGGATGCCGCTCTACACATATGAAAAACACACTCATGAGAGACCACAGCGCATTCATCTCTGCTCATGGGCTTTATAGGGCAGAGAACACCATGTGACAACCTGAGTCAGAAAATCTAATCTTTTGAAATCAAAAAGTTTACTGAATCTTATTATAATTAAATCTAATCAAATAAGTTTTTTGGGTTTTTTTGAGTATCATATTTGATGCATCATGCTTTTATGGCTCATATAATCTGATATAGTGAAAATATGGAGGAAAAAACTGCTCAATTTTATTCAGAGACTGAAAAATATGCAATTTTGGTGCAGATGCTGATATTTATATAATGAAATTCTGATGCTTGTAAAGTAAATCAATGAGATCTTTATAACAGTACAGCAGATACTGACATAAAATGACAGAAATATCAGTCACCACTCTATATCTCCAATAATATGTCTTAGTAAGATATTTAAATGATTAAAACATATAGTGCAATACAATCCAAAATCCTGATGATCAGATTTTTCTAGAAAATGATTGATTGAGAATCAAATAAAGCCAAGCTGCTTCAGTCCAGTAAGTGTTTATCTGGAAATAGTATTAACAATATCAATGTTATTCTTACGCTTACTTCACAAAAATTAGTAAAGTAGTGTCTGTGTCTGTGTCTGTGTCTGTGTGTGTGAATGAGACTGGCATATTCACACTCCTGCATGTGTTCAGGGCCGAACCCTCCTTTAGATCTACAGAAAGCCCTGCGAGATGGTTTATATGAAAACGAGTAAATCACAGTGTCTGATGCAAGAGTGCTTAGCACATAGTCTACACTGAGAGACTGTCGTGATGACACCCGATCAGTCCTATTAATTGACTGAAATAAAACCAAAATTCAATTGTTTCTGCAAAAAAATCTGCCTTTAAGAGGTCTGGGTGAATTTAATACTCATATATCTGAATTTGTATTTAATTTTGTTTGAATAAGTGGTGTTTTTGGACTGGCGAGGAAGATTTCATTTTTCATAGCACATCAAGCCTTTTTATCTGAAGAGATCAAGCGAGATTTGATTCCTCATGACACGAGCCCTTTAGAGAAGCTCCGTTAACACCTCATATTAAACCACGACGGGACACAACGCTACTAATAACGTGTCTCTGCTGGCTTTTACCTTTGTGAGCCAACTGCCGCTGAATAAAATCACCCGCTGAAGTGCCTTTTGAAATAAAGCGATCTGCTCTAATGAGGGATGAGTTTTATAAGCGCTGAAATACTGACGTTTATCACAGCACAGAGCCTGTCGAAAGCCAACTATATGAGACAAACCCCAATCTTTCTTTACAGCCAGATTCTTAATCAGGCAAAGATGATTAAAGTTGTCCACTTAATCATTTATTTGACTGCATATATTCTTTTCTAATTTATGAGCGAGATCTAGGTTTCATTTAAAAGAACTCCCCCGCTGGTTAAGTCACATCTCTCTCTCTCTTTCTCTAATTTTCTCTAATTACATCTTATATTAATCACTCTCTGGCTGGGAGTGTGTGGGTGACTCTGGGGCGCAGCGGCGTGTGTTTGAAGAGAGCTCAGACTAACTCATTATGGCTGAGGTGTGTGGATGACAGCGCCACTGACTCAACGCATGTTTTATTAAGACCTTTCAAACAGCTTGTACACATCAAAAACCAATACACCAGCAGCACCTAAAAGACGAAGGTGACTGAAAGACAGATGGACAGGTGACTCTCACCATGTCTGGCTCATGTTTCTCCATGAAACCAAAAGCAAAACACAAGTTTACATGAAGACAATGCAGCACATCTACAGACCATTAAAGAAGTAGCTGACCCAAAAAAGAAAATTCAGTCATTACTTACTCACATTATGGCACTGTAATGTTTTACCCTTGAGTTTGTTTGTAATTCTCATTCATCTTTATGATGATGATTCTCATTAGATTCTCATTACTGTAATACAGTCAGGAAAGTCATCCTCTGGATGCAATGGCATTTTTAATAAAATAAGCATACTACAATGATGTATAAATACCATACAAAACACCATTATGCTTTTCCACATTATGATCATGAAAATCAGTCTTTTGCAATACAGAATACTGCTTTAAAATACTAATAAAATGACTTAAGTTAAATTCGTATCACTTCTCATATTAGGAGGGTTTCTCAAACAGCAAAGATTTGCTGTGACACTGACGCGTCATGTCAAATAACTGAGAGAACATCAAATTACTATGGACAAACGGGATATGATGTCATGCTCTAGGGCTTCTGTATTTATTTAATAATAAATCACAAATAATAAGAAATGTAAAATATTAAAATACACCATCTGCTCTACTTTAAAGCAACACAGCAAACATGCAGCTTTGAAGTTTGTATTCTTTGTCTTGAGTCAAGCGGTCGATCGGTGACATTTACACCCTCTAGTAATCAAACATCTTTTGCATGTATAATAGTAAACTTCATTTACGTCTGCCTGAAAATGTTTGCATGTTTAATCAAATTGGTATAATGTGTGATGGTGTGGATGCTGGATATTATGTGTGATGATAATGATGGCAGTAATGGGCACAGTGATTGTTTGTTATAAATTACAAATGGTATGCATAATACCAAATGTACTGAACATATGGGTTCTTTGAAAAATATGCAAAACAGAATTCCCCTCAATACATTTATTCATTGGGAATATAATTGAATTTAATCTGGTAAATTTGAGACATATTAGGAATAATTTAACCACTGAGGCTTCAAAGTTGTACATTATTGTTATGATCTTTTCACATATGAACTACTGCCTCACCAGTTGGACACAGACAGGTGGGACTACTTTATAACCAGTAGAAAGACTCTATAAGCAGGCTTTGAAAACACTGGATAAAAGGTCTAATTTATATCATCACTGTAAAATCTTAACTAAATACGGTCTTTTAAACTGGGAAAATACCGTTGCTTTTCAATGACGTACAGTGGCGGCACTAGGGCAGGGCTTGATGGGCCCCCCCCCCCTAATTTCCTAATGATATTCCTGTTTTTTGACTCCCAGTGTCACTTTGATTCCGCAGCACCACACTGGAAGTAGGGATGTCACGATATCAAAAATCTAGTAGTTGGTACCGATACCACTTAAAGTACATGATACTCGATACCAAGTCGATACCACGGGAAAAAACAACAATAATACTTAAACATGAACTCCTTTATTTAACATTACAAAAACACAACATTAGTGGCACTTGGCCTTCAAATAACACACACACACACACCTGTACTCTGAATGCAAGCATTAGTTTAAATTCACTGACATACTGGCAGGCCGAAAATATTTTTAAACCCATTAACATAAACAACAATTCATGTGCAGCCAGTGGCAGCGCTAGGGCGGGGCTTGATGGGGCTATAGCCCTGTCAGAAACTTGCTTAGCCCCGGCACAGCCCCCCCAAAGATTTCCTAATGATATTCCTGTTTTTTTTTTAATCTCCCAGTGTCACTTTCATTAACATTGAAAAATAAACATAAAAAATAATAATAAAATAAAAAGCCTAATATGTGGCCTATAAACAATTGACATTATGGGGGAGGGGTCAATTAGGCGCGCTTAGGTACAGTGCGCATTAGCGTTCATTTTAAGTTTAGTATCAACAGCTATCACGATGGAGCGCTATTTAAGATCAAGTAAAAGACCGCAAATTTCAGACACTTTGCAGATGAGAACAATAACACAAGTCGACAGTCTCAAGCCCTCTTTACACTGGGGCTTTTTTGTTTTAAAACGGCATTTTAAAATGAAAACGATCCTCGTCTACACTTGCGTTTTCACTGCGTTTCAGAAACGTTCTCCGTCCACACTACACAACCCGAAAACTCATGTCACGTTTTCGAGGGTTGAAAATGCCAGAGTGGTGTAAACAACAGGCGTAACCGTGGCAAAAGTGATGCATTTTAAAACTAAAACACACTAGTGTAAACGTAGCCTCATCAGTCTGAAGTTCAGGATGGAGAGGAGAGAGGAGAGGAGTCTCTTTAAAGGGGTCATATGATGCTGCTAAAAAGAACATTATTTTGTGTATTTGGTGTAATGAAATGTGTTTATGCGGTTTAAAGTTAAAAAAACACATTATTTTCCACATACTGTACATTATTGTTTCTCCTCTATGCCCCGCCTTCTGAAACGCGTCGATTTTTACAAAACTAATCGGTCTGAAAAGCGAGGTGTGCTCTGATTGGCCAACTATCCAGTGCGTTGTGATTGGCCGAATACATCAAGCGTGTGACGGAAATGTTACGCCCCTCACCATACTGTCGATGCCGTGTCCGGCCGGAGCGACGAGACATAAACATTAAAACCCATTACAAACGAGGCATTTGTTGCATCCAGTGGGGACATAATTACTGATTATAATGACTTATACTGTCTTTTTACGCGTTGCGTTGCGTTGCATCGCGCCGCGTAAACATAAAACCATGGCTGCATTTGTGATCGGAGAAAT